AAAAATTCAGCTTACATAAAAGCAGTTAATAATTGCATATACCTCTTTCCAGTAGAAAACCATTTAACAATGGCACAGGTAATAGTGCACAGATAATACAATTCTGACTTTGATCAAAGAATCACTGAAAATTCAAGCAGGCTTTTATGAAAGGTTACAATTTCTGGTCACTACGTAATTAAGGGCACAGTGTAAACGAGTGAGATTAACATCTAACTTTGCTGGGAGCCAGGGAAGTTATTTTCCAGTTTTTTCAGTTCACTGTGTGGCTGCACGAATGCTGGTGCTCAGCCAATGGAGAAGGTGAGAAGTAGCAAACATTGAACCTCAGCATTTGATGTTTTGAGGCATAATTACATATTGTATAATCATACTGTGACATAGTTTATAAAAATCAAAGTCAATAGACACCAATAAAAAGTCTTGGTTCAAGAGAATTTACATTCCTTATATCTGAAAGAAATTTAAAATGATGAGTGTTCTGTCATAATAACTCCAAGTGGGCAGTAGAGTCTACATTGGACATCTTGGGTTTTGAGAATTGTGTTATCTTTTAGCAAAACTTGGGGATATTCCAGCAAGCGGTATGACCATTAATTGTTAGCCAGAATGGAGATGGATTTGACTTTACTGTGGAGGAATAGTCACAAGCACCAGAGGCATATACTTGGGAACTAACAATGAACACTGCTGACAGCACAGATGTCAGTTACCAAGGGTACAGATGCTCTTGATCTGTTCAGGAAAGTAAACATTATGTGCAGTGGAGGGGAAGGAGTTTAAACAGCCTCTTGCTTTACTGTTAGGTATGGGAGCATAAGGAAACTGGAAGTTAGTTGATTCAGTAGCATAAAAAATTACTAGACAGCCTCCGCAAAATGGGAAAGACAAATTTGACACAGGGCAAACTGATGTTTTAGAGCAGTTTTTCCCTAGGAAAACTGTTAGGAAAAGGCATGGGCTAAGGCCTTGAAGGAAAGCTGCTTTGGAATTATTATTCTTAGTTTTCACTTCCTATGACCTAATTGTATTGTCACTGTCATTAATATCTATTTGCTAAAGGTGAAGAACATCAAGAACTTAGTATATTCTGAACTTGTTAACAGGAACCATACAAAATCTATGGAGAAACCACTGAAGCAGGTGTTTATATTTAAAATGTTATTTCTTCAAATATTTGAGGCTCAGTTACTTTTTTCTTTTAAGCTGTAACATATTCCTGTACATTATAAAATTTCATTCATTGTAGGCCACACACCTCTACAATAATTTGCCTATATTCCGGCTGGTCGATATTTTGCAGCATATCTTCAACTAGAAGGGAGAAATTCATCTCATACATCGTCATATCCGATAAGGTTGGTTGCTGAAAAACAAATAATACTTTTACTCAAAGACCATTTGCATTAAATCAAAACCACCCCCAGGCAGAGCTTATTTGGTTGTTGAATAAGTAATACTCAACTAAGAAATATCACCACTGTAGGATCAAAAAGGGAGAAGATTTCAGAGTCCATGACTGGGAAAGGGTCTTCTAGAGTTACGCTTTTAAAAAAGTGTTTAAATAGAAATAGCTGACTTCCATTCTATTCTAATTGTATTTTACTCAGAACCAAAAAGAAAGCTTGAAAATACATTTTTTTCCCCTCTTAAATCATAACAGGAACAAATTACCCTAAGTAACATGTTATGGCATAAAAGACATTAATGATAAAACAATACACCATTAATAGCCAGGTAGAGCAGAAATAACTGGGCATCTCTGTTGTTTTTTACCTGTGGTAAGAATTTCCCTGCCACTATTAAACCATTAGGGGTTCTCTCCAAGATCTGCCACACCCGATCATAGAATCCAGCAGGAGTTCGATTGAGAGAACCGTCTATCTGTCTTCTGTTTAGCCAGCTTCTGTGGACAAAGAAAATTGAGAACTTGAAGTAAAAAACTGTTACAGATGCAGAACCAAGCCACGTTCTGTGGTGTAAGCCAGTAAGGTAAGCAGTGACATCAAATACATATTAATAATGCATATGCAGTGTATGTTGTGCTTTCTGCTAAGCTACGCTCTAAAGCAAACAAAATCAAGATGCTAAGCATATAGAGGTTAGAATGTTATATGTATGTGTGTGCTTTATGTAAGTGGAGGAAAAGCATTAACTGTGAAATCTGTCCAATGCAGTACAGCAACAGTAGTAGGCTGAATTCATCATGTCTAATCAATTTGAGTCACCACAAACTAAAATATATATAAAACAGATGTCACTGTGTGGTACCTATGACAGCCAAATTTATACACACTGAAAAAAAACCAGTTAACTATAATATTAAAATTTGTTTTATCATACGACAACAGGCAAAGTGATTCATTATATAAATACAGCTCAATTAAATTCTACATCTATAAGATACAAAATGTAACAGATTAGAAACACCTATAATTCTAATTTAAATACCAGGTTAGAAA